CCCACTACTTAGATTGATTTAATTTAGGAGAAATCTGAAAATTTTAAGACAGCTAAAGTCAGCTAGTAGCAATCATACAAAATTACTATTTTTGACGATGATCAATTAAAAAACCACTAATCAACGTCATAGAAGATCAATAGTTACTTAAAGCTGAAGAGACTGCCAATCGAGCCAGAATACGAACTCTCTAGATATATACAATATAAATAATAATTTTGATAGAATACCATTTGAGGGACCGAACAGTAGAACTCACTGTCAGAATTTCTTTAAAAATTTTAAAATACTGACTCTTCCTTCTTTATTAATTTTTGAATCCGTTTGCTTAATCCGCAAGCACATATCTGCTATTCCCGAAAGGCCATCTCATAACTATCCACTTAGGAATGCGGAGCACGATCTTTATCTGCCAACCCCGAGCTCAAAACTAGTTAAAGGTTCAATACTGTACAGAGTGGGTCAAATTCGACGCTTTTAAATGGAAACACTCTTTTCTATAGGAGATAGACAAAAACTAATATCGGTGTCTGGAGCTCAATTTTTGTCAAAAACATGATGGTGAAAACCGCATATCGATATCTGTTACCGTTTCGGAGTTACAGGGTATTTTTCAAAAATATGCATTTTTAACAAATCGCTGTAACTTTTTTGCTATGGAAAATTTTATATTTTTATGAACCATTTCCAAAGCACCTTTTACGTAGAATTTAATGGTTTAAGAATAATTTGTTTAAAATTAATAATTTAAGAATTATCAACAGAAAATTTGATTTTTTATATGGGACACCCTGTATATTTTTAATTTATTGAAAGGAATTTAAAATTACCTTTCCAAAAATATAACACACTTGATATTTTTTGCACGATTCCTCTTCGAGATATAGAGTATATAGAAATTCGCCCGCTTTAAATAAGTAGGCTTTGAACGGCATCGGCTGTAATGCAAAAAAATTCTAGCTGTGAGCATCAATTAAAACGAAAATAATATTTTGCTATGAGAGATGCAGAATTTTATAACAATTTAAAATATATTTAACCAACATCAACACATTTAAACTATATCTAATAACAATAAAAATAAATAGCAAACCAAGACATGAGATTTTGCTACAGGTGTTCGACATATCAACCGTCTTCTGTTATGGACAGATGGGGCAGTTTTTGAACATTTCTCGCGGGATTCATTAGCTCAGTGGGGGTGAAAAATACCCTCCCATAACTGCTAAGTATTTCTAATTATTTTCTCGACTATACGGAAGAATAAGGAACCTTTATTGTTCCGCAAATATATCCATAGGATTAGATCCATGGGCACTAAGTCGCCAATGGGATCTTAGATCCATGGGCCTCGACCGCCAATGGGATCTTGGTTAGCTATTCAATTATTCTTGAAATTGGCTGCAAAAATTTGCTGATAACTTCAGCGATCAGAGGTCGTGCATCGTCTTGCTGGAAAAATATGTTTTCGAGTTCCATTAAGGGCATATCATCAATTAGGGGTCCAAAGCCTACTAGTTAAAAGTGGCGAACTTCTAAAAATTCTGTACTTCGAAGGGGATTATAACAAAATATCAAGTGTGCTATATTTTTGGAAAGGTAATTTTAAATTCTTTTCAGTTAATTAAAAATATAGAGGGTGTCCCAAATAAAAAATCAATTTTTCTGTTGATAACTCTTAAATTACTAATTTTAAAAAAATTCTACTTAAACCGTTAAATTCTACGTTAAAAGGTGATTTGGAAATGTTTTCATAGAAATACAAAATTTTCCATAGTAAAAAAGTTACAGCGATTTGTTAAAAATGCACATTTTTGAAAAACACCCCGTAACTTCGAAACGGTAACAGATATTGATGAGCGGTTTTCACCATCATGTTTTTGATGAAAATTGAGCTCCAGACACCGATATTAGTTTTCGTCTATCTCCAATAGAAAAGGGTGTTTCCATTTAAAAGCGTCGAATTTGACCCACCCTGTACAATGCCAAAAAAATGTACAAAAATCTGTCTTTGAATATCAAGTCGCTTTCATTCTTTCCCGCATTTCGCAAAGCTCTGAAATCATACTTACTGGAGAGAGCCCTATATGCGGTAAACGACTTTTTTGTTGATGTTTAATCATGAACAATTTTGAATTTTAAAAATTTGGTCATCTCACACACTGGTCAAAGGTCAAGTATTTAATATTTTTATAACGCTTAAATTATAACTCTTTAAATAATTATATCTATTTACAATCGTCCTATTGTAAAATTTTAATGATACGCCTTTTTTATGTTCTGCAATTGTCCATGTATGTTTTATTTGTAATTTTAATGACTTAAATTTTTTTGCATTGTATGATTTGTATTGTATATTTTTGTATTTTTTTTGCTTTTGTTTGTTTTGTAAATGCTTTATTGATGAAGCTATTTTGGCGTTTTGCACAATAAAGCGTTATTTGTTGTTGTTGTTATTGAGGGTTGGAACCTTTGGTGTAATAACAGCAAAATAAAACACTAATTCACCACACTACACCAAAACACATATTAAAACTTTTTTTTAAGCAGGGTTGTAATTATCTGCCGATGATGCTAACATGGTTAGCGAATCGCATGTCCAGTGCAGAAGTAAAGTGTTTTGGTGTAGTGTGGTAAATTAGTGTTTTATTTTGCTAGATACCAACATCACAATTCACAATAGATCTGCGAAGGAAAATGCCAATAGCCAACTTCAGCATTATAACGATCAGTGTTAAAGGCTCTTGATCATATATAATATGATATTTTTAAATATACTAATAACGATATTTTCGGAAGAGACAGTTTAGAATACTTATTTTTAATGTGTCAAATATTTCGTTGCAGATAAATAACTAGTTGAAAGAAAACTGAAGTTTCGATATCATATTAATCTCCAAAGTGCATAGTACTTCAAAAGTCAAAAACCTCACCGAAACCGTTGTTCTTCGGCCGATACCTTCTTGCCAACTACGTGGGGGCCCCAAAGCGACGGCGCCCCCGCGTAGCACTCTGCCCACCGCCGCGCGTTGTCGCTTCTCGGCCTTGCCATCTACGGCGAACGCGCGGCGATCAGAGGAGGCCGTAAAGTGCATGGGTAGAGAACGCAACCCGTAGTAGTATTCAGATTTATGTGGATTCCGACGCAAACCCGTAAAATATCGTTAGGATGATGACAGTTTTCATTGAAAACCGAAGAAGGTCGATGCACACTCGATTTATTCTCGTTGCAGTTTCAATATGACCTGGGATTATCATAGCCACTAAAACATTATTCTTAAATTTATTTACTTTTTTTTATTCATCGTTAATTCAACATTATTGCTATGTTTTACCATAAAAATAGTCAGCTCTATCAATTGTATTAGTCAGTGGCGTAACAGTGCTTGTGAACTGTGCTAGTAAACATTCACAATTGTGTGTGGACTAAATTTGCAGAAACTTATTCAACATGGTACAGATTTTTCGTTTGGCCGCAAATTCAACTGCAGCCCTGAGAAAATTCATTAAATTCTTCCAATCTAAGCACCTAGGTTTAATAGTAAAAAAAAACATAAAAACCACATCATTTCAGGAAGTTTTTAAACATTTTTTCACTCTGCAACCATCAAGTGAAAACCTGTGCCAGTTACGGCGCCAGAGTAGTAGAAATAATTTAAATTATTTAATACATGGCAGAAGTAAATTCACTCTTACGCAGCAACAGTTTTAAAAACTCCTATTACCTATCAGTAATTTGCCAACACAACTGTTGCAAACCGGAAATGTCTTGGCATGTTCGTCGTGTTTTAACTGTGACAAAGACTCTGATGTATTACATGTATAAGCCATTTAATTTTATTAATGTAATAGATGTTTGAAATACTACAGTTTTTTCTTTTTTTATTTCACTTCCCTATTAAATTTGACGCCCAACAAGGGGCCATACTTGTAAAATAGAGAGTTTCTAAGAGTGATACGATAAAAAGAGTCACTTTTATCAAGTGAAGTAGTCAGAGATGTAACTGTGCTTGTAAATTGTGTAGTGAACATTCAGAAACATTTGTGTGCACAAAATTCCCAGAAATTTAATCAGAATAGTGTAAACTTTTTTGTTTCAATAAGTTTTTGAGCAGACAGTAGTAGAAAAAGAGTTAAATTATTTAACATAGTATTGGAATACAACTATTAAAAAAATACATTAGTATGAGTCATATTACTACTTTTTAGCCTTTTAATCTTTTAGTTTCAAATAAATAAATATTTTTTAATTAATCTATATTATGATTATTACCTACATAAATAATAAATAATAATCCAAAAGTAATTTAATGATTAGGCAAGCTGGTTTAAAATTTCAATAAGATAAAATCAACTACCAAACATTTGGTAAATCAGTAAATAGAACATTCACAATAAATGCACAAATTTAAACATTTTTGAACAATATAATTTGGCCACACATCATAATCCAGCTGTTACTTACTCATAGTATAAATGCATACTTTGATACGATTTAGCAAAACGTGATCAATAATTTGAATGTGCAGGAGAATTCTCAAACTTGGAATAAATCAGATATCTGTTTTTTTTTTCAGAAATATCTATGCCCAAACATGTCAGTTAGTATTTTAAGTTGTACTCTTTTTGATGTCACAAAATGTTATACAGCGTGTCTCAAATTTGAAATATGACACCACCAATTCTTTTAAATGGAAACCCTAATATTATTATCTATTCTTAAAAGTAATAATAAATTTATATTCTTCATCAAGAGATAAGAGACAAACATTATCATTACTCAATTATTATTAAAATGTCCATTTACTGACAGTACCCAAAAATGAACTGAAACTTGTTTTGAGCTTTCCTAATTACTTTGGCGGGAATTGAAAATACACGGCACAATTTAAAATACTAATCGAAGGACGTGTATGCTAACTTTATTAAAAGTTAGAGAATTATTATTATAATCAATAACATAGTATTGATATAATGCTATATTATAACTTGATGTTTACCTTAATGATCTTTTGTATAGTGGGCTTTCTATTCCCTCCAATCTCCTTCTTTTGCCGTCCTTCTCATTGGAAGTGTTTTTCTTCTGCTTGTTATAACTTCGCTCTCGTGAAACTGACCTTGATCTCGAACGAGAATGATGTCTTTTCCTTGTTCGTGGCATCTATAGAATCAAATATAAAATGTTATTAAAGTAACTGACTAACAAAAGCAATGAAACAGCTTTAAAGGACAGTGACATATGAGAAAAGTTAAGATCTATAATAAAAATATACTCAAACCTCTGAACATTTAAATCCATTATCAGTTTTAATTATTACTAAATGTTTAAGCACAGACATTTTGAAAATATATGATCATCTGATGGAAAAACCCCGTGAAGAGCTATTTTAGGTGGAGATGAAAAGTACGACTTTGAAAACAAGAAATTTTGAGTAGTTTCTAAGACCAGCTTACTTGGTTTTAGAGGACGCGTGTCGATGAAACAGTTGACTTTCAAGATTTTAAATACACTTTTAGAGAAATGTATAGACTGTAACAACTCGTTAAATGAACATATAAATAACCAACAAACGCGTTAGTTTAAGAAATTGCAAAAAAAGTTATTTTTCTAGTGTGACTTTTTGATCAGCCATGTTCTTTTGTTTATAGCAGCGCCACTAGGCAGGAGTAGGAAAATGTCAAATTAAATTTTTGGCGGTTTTATACATCAGATCATAAATGCTATACCCATGCTATACTAAAAATACTTACTTCGGCTTGCGTGTAATGTGTAAATTTACCCCAAATTAAATGAGCAAAACGAGAAATGCAATTCCAGGTCCTCTGCGTTGAGCCTTGAAAAACCTCAGTGGCTAAAGTGAAGCCAAACATCGATCCAACCTATTGGTTGGAGTTAAATGTCGTTGACTTTTGACACGATTTGAAAAACATGAAAGAAAAACTTTAAAATATCTGCCCGGAAAATAAATACCAATTGTTCAGTTCAATTAAGGGTCGAAAAATATACAAACACACGAAACACTTATGAAAAACAACAAATACTATCAATATTAAAATTATTGAAGGACAGAAAATTGGAGAACATTTGACATTTCTTCTTCTTCTCACAGGAATCCTACTTTACCGACGGGACACAGGGCACGTCAAATAGGAATGGGCCTCTGGAACTCTGGAATGGACTTAAAATAAAATAAATATACCTACAATTTGCCTTTTTAATTATCAAAATTCAATTTGGGTAAAGGTGTGGATCCGGTGGCTGACCTTGAAGCCCATATTTGCTGCATTTGATCATCGATACCACGCAAGCGCACATCGTCGATGTTGCCAAATGGCAGTTTATTTTCGAATTATTTTTAGTTAAAAACAAATGTTTTAATAATACAAAATCTATAATTAATTTTATAATTTCAGATTTATCTTGATATCAAAAATTAAGGTAAGAAGGATAATGAAGATTGTGAAATGAAAGTATTATGAATATATAAAAGTGTAATAATAATAACATTTATATATTTACATTAGAATTAAAAATTATCATTTACGGATTTTTTCTTAATGGTTTTAAACTTATTAGAATTATTTTATTTCTTTCAAGTTATTTAATTTCTAGTTATTTACAGGCAACAATAGTTTTGATTATATGTATTGATGTATTGAAGTACTACCATGACGAGTCTTATAGAACAATACACGTCAATGGGAGATAGAGGTAATATTTTACCTATAATGTTACTAATATAATATACTTTGATTATAATGTTTAATGTTTGTATCATAATTTCTTAAAAATATCAAGTTAGTGGATTAATAGCAATTTTAGACATATTTTATCGAAGAGTGTATTGATAAGACTAAATTAAACTTTATGTTTTATCTTTTTCTCTTTAGAAGGGAGATGGTTTGTGTCGTAGAATACATTACAGTATTTAATATCGTGTACTTTGATATTCTTTTCTTAATTTACTGTAATTTCTTGTTTCCTATAATGCCAAATCTTGACAATATGGTGAAGGTTGAGTTTTGATCTTATTAGTTTTATACCTGTGTTTATACAAGACCAAATTAAGACTTATTAGTTTGTGATTAATATTAAGATCTTTCTTGTAATATTTGAATGTCTTAATCTTAATACTATATTATGCTTTGTATGGAAAATAAATGTTAAAATATCTTAATTTTGCATATCCTATTCCATCCTTCCATTAGGAAAAATATAGTTTATAAATCATATATGCTAAGAAAATCACATAAATTAGTTTTAAGAATAGAGAAATCTTAAGGTAGCAGAAAAATTAATGCAATATATGTATAAGCAGAATTAAACAAAAGGTAACTGTTAATGTTGCTGAAGCTGATTCTACAATTTTAATTACGGAGGCTAAAATGCCTTTTAAGGCCTCCGTAGTTTTGATGGAATGTTAAAAAAATCTATTATGAACATGACATGGAGCTACAGCATTTAAAAATTTAAAAATAGGGAAAAACTTGGACATATCCTTTTTAATTTCCCGAATTTTTAATAAAGCACTTTTTAAACGTAGCATAATAATCTAGAGCAATTAGATTAATTATAAGAATCTAGAGTTTTATTTATATTTAATTTTGTTGACAATGAAAATACATAATAAGCGTTCACGTCTGCGTTCACGTGTTGTGCGAAATATTAAAATAATAATATAAATAATATACCGCGTACTATGATTGAAAAAAAATAGCGTCAGCGATGACTATGAAATGAAGATCGCTGTCATTTTATATTGGAAATGTCCTCAATCGTCATTTCCCAACCAACTGAACGCCGTTTTTTCGATCATACGGTATATATTGACAAAAAAACACTGAAAAGCACATATTTGTTTTCTACTGAAAATAATTCCAAAATAACTTGCAATTTGGCAACATCGAAGATGTGCGCATGCGTAGTGTCTGTGACTATATGCAGCAAAAACTCGTTTCAAGGTCAGCCACCGGATCCACACCATTACCTCAATTTGGAATACAAAGAGTCGAGCAGAATCGCAGTTTTTATTTATTATTAGTTTAATTACCTAGGCAATAGCAAATTCTTTCGAAAATTGATAGTCGGCTAAAATTTGGTCATATATAAATAGACTTAAATCATATATTTATTTATCCCAGGAGCTGACCCAGAGATATGGAGGTTCTATGTGCTGACCCTGGCTGGAAACTGCTGGAAACCAGCAAAACCTCTGAGCAAAACGCATAGGGAAAAAGACCAAACAAAATTATGATTTCGGTAATGGTGTGGATCCGGTGGCTGACCTTGAAACGAGTTTTTGCTGCATATAGTCACAGACAATACGCATGCGCACATCTTCGATGTTGCCAGATTGCAAGTTATTTTGGAATTATTTTCAGTAGAAAACAAATATGTGCTTTTCAGTGTTCTTTTGTCAATATATACCGTATGATCGAAAAAACGGCGTCCAGTTGGCTGGGAAATGACGATTGAGGACATTTCCCATATAAAATGACAGCGATCTTCATTTCATAGTCATCGCTGACGCTATTTTTTTTCAATCATAGTACGCCGGTATATTATTTATATTATTATTTTAATATTTCGCACAACACGTGAACGCTTATTATGTATTTTCATAGTCAATAAAATTAAATAGAAATAAAACTCTAGATTCCTATAATTAATCTAATTGCTCTAGAATATTATGGTACGTTTAAAAAGGGCTTTATTAAAAATTCGGGAAATTAAAAGGGATGTGTCCAAGTTTTTTCTTTTTTTAATTATAAAGATAATGTATGTATATGTATATATATGTAATAAATGCATGCTCCATGTCATGTTCATAATAGTTTTTTTAACATTCCATCAACGCTACGGAGACCTTAAAAGGCCTTTTAGCCTCCGTAATTAAAATTGTAGAATCAGCTTCAGCAACATTAACAGTTACCTTGTTTAATTCTGCTTATACATATATTGCATTATTTTTTCTGCTACCTTAAGATTTCTCTGTTCTTACACCTATATATGATTTATAAACCATATTTTTCCTAATGGAAGGATGGAATAGAATATGCAAAATTAAGATATTTTAACATTTATTTTCCAGACAAAGCATAATATAGTATTAAGATTAAGACAACAAATATTATAAGAAAGATCTTAATATCAATCACAAACTAACTAAGTCTTAATTTGGTCTTGTATAAACACAGGTATAAAACTAATAAGATCAAAACTCAACCTTCACCATATTGTCAAGATTTGGCATTATAGGAAACAAGAAATTACAGTAAATTAAGAAAAGAATATCAAAGTACACGATATTAAATACTGTAATGTATTCTACGACATAAACCATCTCCCTTCTAAAGAGAAAAAGATAAAACATAAAGCTTATTTTTGTCTTATCACCACACTCTTAGATAAAATATATGTCTAAAATTGCTATTAATCCACTAACTTGATATTTTTAAAAAATTATGATACAAACATTATAATCAAAGTATATTATATTAGTAACATTATAGGTAAAATGTTACCTCTATCTCCCATTGACGTGTATTTTTCTATAAGACTCGTCATGGTAGTACTTCAATACATCACTACATATAATCAAAACTATTATTGCCTGTAAATAACTAGAAATTAAATGACTTGAAAGAAATAAAATAATAATAATCTTTTTAGTGCATACACGACCGAAGAAGAATATAAGCTGCTAAAATAAATCTTCCCTATAACTGTTGTACAAAAAAGATAGAATTTCCAGCAACAAATATCACCAGTTCAACCTTTGATTTGATGTAAACAGTAATTGTTACTAGATGACAAATGCGAATTAAATAGTTTATGGTGTGATTGTGTTAGTGATTTATTAATAGTTTTTCATAAAAACATTTGAAATTGATATGTTTACAAGCAGTTCAGTGTGATATCATTTTAATAAACATTAAAAACTTTCGTAACAAACTAGTAGTAGTTTTACCGCAATTGACAGGAACTGAATCACGAAAATTAAAAGTATTTTATCAGGAATAACTTCAATGGAACGTGAAGATGAACACTACTGTTGCACCCTTTGATCAATGTTATGTATCCCATAACTTTTTATAGCTGAAACCAGAGAATAAGTACATTAAGCTGAAATGTTTCCTGTGTCCAATAGCGTTTTTTTCTTTAGATTTTTTTTAGCGTTTTTTCTTTAGATTTCTTTAGATAGTCTCCATAATAATATGATAATAGACAAATTCTTAGACAAGGAAAGAGAGGGGACAGGTAACACGGCAGCTGAAAGTGAGGCAAGTTGTCACCACGCGAAATTCTCCAATGGCGTAGCATCAGAAATTAGCTTGTACCTAGACGGTATAAAATATTTATTAAAACTAGTAGTGGGAACTATCGAATGAATACTATCGAAACATTCGATAGTTGCAATTCATTCGAATAATTCGATAGTTAGTAAGAAAACATTCGTTGAAAACTATTCGAATAAAAATTATCGAATAGATCCGTCATCTGCCTTGAAATATTGTATTCTAGTAATTCGGCAGCAAAAACCATTCATTTATGAAATTCATTTATTCGTCAGGATCGATTATAATAAAATATTAACTGAATTTTAGTTGTCGCCCGGCGACGCGACGTAGGTTTCTTTCCGAGAAACCCGACAGCGGTCGGTGGCAATGCTATGAAAGAAGCCGGCATCTTTGATTTTTTGCGGAGTCAGATATAGATAAGGACACATTATTTTTTTTATTAAGGTGCTAGTATTTACACAGAAAATACATTATGAAGGGCGCTGTTGTCATATTTTGGTATTAGTTGATATTATCAAAGAATATTATTGTTTGGCTTTAGTTAGTTAGGGATAGTAGGCATGTCTATATATTCTGCATTTTTTTATTAATATTCTGTTGTTACACTGCAATAATACTTGTTGTTTTGGATGTAGGAAAATTATTTTTAATGTTTTTAAGCAAAGACTGGTTTAATAAATAATAATAACAGTAATAATTTGTTATACCTATTAACAACAAAATTTAAAACCATTTAATATAAATATTTTTTTTAAGTAGTAGCAAAATATAAACAACAAATTAGATGTCAAAATTATTTATATTAGATACTATTTAAAAATAATATAGTCTCT